TCATAGTAAAAATTTTTTTAAAAAGGCGAATTAAAAAAATTAAAAATAAACAAATAAAAATTTTTTGCCCGTTAAGTCAAGTCAGCGAGATGTTTTCAGTTCTACAGAAAAAAATATTTTATCCAAAATAAAATTGACGCCCCCGCTAGAACTATTTTTTTTTTTTAATAAATGGGTGTTTAATCTATTTTCGATTGAAATATATAAAAGAGCGTTTAAACGTCGACTATAAATAGCTTATATAAACCTCATTGGGCATGGCTGGCTCTCTCTATATGAAGTGATATAAAATCCTTTTCGTTGAAAAGAAAAAAACAAGGAATAAAAAGTAAATTATCTTTTACGATGATTATACAGTATCACACTTTTACTCGACATACCTTCTTATCGTCGTCATCTTTAATGTGACTTTTGAAAGGATCAGAGAGGGTCTCGGTGGATATTTCGTCATTCGTGTGCCTGTTGTCAGCTGCACCACCTCTTCGAAGACAGGGCGGAAAAATTGCAATAGATTGCTCGGTAGATTAGCGCGAAAGCTTCCGTACTTTGTCGACTCCAAATCTGTTGTTAACGACAGATATCCCCACCGCTGGCCTTTAGCAGAGACGGCGCACCTGTTTTGCCGTTGGTAGTCGGCACCAAATCCTCCACGCGGAAAAGGAAATGCATGTCTTTGTGCTTTGTAGTCCACATGTTTTTACTAAGTCCTTAAGTTGTCGCGGATCTTTCATACATGGAGCTGAAACAAGAAAGAACAACTGGTCGTTGTTATCTGAGTTCAAAATGTTAATAAACGATTTAGCCTGTTCTACGGTGATAAAGCTCTGCTTTTGACGCATTACTCTCTGGTCCTGAAGTTTTACTGCAACTTTCATTAGACAATACCCTCTCATGATCGGTTGACATGCCATTCGTGGGGGTTTCTGTACAAGATAAATGACAAGATGGCAAAAGATAAGAGAAGAATATTAAGGACGTCGGGCTATAAAAGTAAATAAGAACTCGTAGACGTTTTGCTCGTTGCATCTCAGCAAACTGGTTATATAAAATGAAGTGTACTTCCAGTGTGAGGATTCCGACGGGCATAAATGTTATTCAGTTGAATCTCTTGTGAGCAAACTGCCAAATTATGTGTGTATTGGAAAATATGGACATCGAGTTTAGTCAAATTGAAATGTGTATGCATTCGAGTTTAGTCCAGGTAGTCAGTGACAAATTTATTTTTTTTTTATCCAGGCGTTCAATGCAAAATCGCGGCTTTATAAAAGGCAGTGGCTATTCCTACGGCACCCGTACGCGGACTTCTATTTGCTATTCATACGGGAGTCCGTCAATTTTGCCGATCCAAAATATTATATGTTTGTTTAGATGCGGGGCGATTTTTGTGAGCGATGTTGATTTCATTTACACCAATTTGTTCAGCCTGTGGTATAGTACGCGAACGACTGTTGGCGACACTTGGTTCTTTTTACATAATCATATAACTCCCGTACCTGGACTTATTTGCTATTCATACAGGACTCGAAACTTTCAAAATTTCGATCCAAAATATTATATGTTTGTTAAAGATGCAGGGGGGGCGTTTCTTGTGAGCGATGTTGATTTCATTCAGAGTAATTTGTTCAACCTGTGGTATAATACGCGAGCGGGAGTAATATGATGACGTAAAAAGTCAAGTGTCGCGAACAGTCGCTCGCTTACTTTACCACAGGCTGAACAAATTAGTGTGAATGAAATCAACATCGCTCACAAGAATCGCCCCGTGCATCTAAACAAACAGATAATATTTTGGATCGGCAAATTGGCGTTTTACATCGAAATTGTTTGAAAATGTCCGACTCCCGTATGAATAGCAAATACAAGTACGGGTGCCGCATGAATAGCCACTGCGAAAAACTGGACCGTTTTTCGCGCTCTCATCTTATCGAAAATCATTTAAACGGTTTAGTGTGTCTATACGTGGATGAAAGCAAAAAATAAACGAAGGGGAGAGAAGTAGAAAAACAGTAGTTTATCGAATCTTTGTACATTGTGTAGTTTGCCTAACGGCGTTTGTGAGCAGCGCGCGAGACCCACAGGCAATTTCGCGATCCGCGCGCGAGGCACGACACCCAAAAAGAAAACGTGAATAGCCCAATTTCGATATATTAAAATTCAAGTTGAAACAAAAGACATCACTACGATTCTTGGGGAATAATATAAGGATTTATATGGTTTATTCCCCCTAAGAATCGTAGTGATGTCTTTTTTGTTTCAACTTGAATTTTAATATATCGAAATTGGGCTATTCGAGGGAATAGATATAAAATAAATAAATCTAATGATGAGCATCATTAAGCGTGAAGTTCAACACATTCACAATCTTAGCTTAGCAAAAAAAAAACATCACCACTGAATGGGGGAAACTACATGGTCACAAAAAAGGCACTGATTCTCATTACCGTCCACTAACATATCCTTGTTGGTGTTCAATGGAACTTGAGTTTTGCATACTAGTTCAGGCTGTTCTGCACTAGGTGGCTCCGTTTCTTCGAAGCACACGTTTAATGGAGGCTGTTCTGCACTGGATGGTTCGATATCCTCGCAGTATTCGCTGGGGATGAAAATGAAAGATTTATTTAACACAAGGTCCGTCATGACCCAAGGTTACCCCTAAAATTTTAATCATGTTTTATCAGTTTACAAACCTCAATCTTGATGCCTTGATTTCATCGGCCATTTCCATCCTAAATCTAGGCATGTCATTCTATAACATAACATAACATAACATTTCAAGAATATTTACATCAGGAACTGAACTTGTAGTTGGTCTTAAAAGTTATGATCTTTATTGAATGGTTTAGTTCTGTATTTTTCTGCATGAAAATTATCATCAGTGTACTAAATTCCAGTATATATACAGCTATGGACATAGGCATAGATTTGCATCCTTGCATACTGTGACGGAAAGATATCTAGTGAGACCAATAAAGTTACATTTTTTTCAATTATGCATTTATTAGAAAATAGTCAACTTGAGATGTTCTTACCTGACTGAAGGATAAAGGTGTACCCGAAATAACGTGGTCAACAAACTGAAGGATAAATGACATATTGAAAATAAATGAGAAATTTTCGGTGTGTGGCCGATCTGAACAGATATTAAAATACTAAAAAAAATAAAGCAGCATAAGGTTTAAATATCTCACCTTTAAAAAAAAAAATACCACAATCGAAGGCATTCAACTGCGTTGGAATTTCTTGTGCGATTTCCTGTCTCCATTCACTAGGAACCCATGTATTTCCAGACATTTTGCAAATGCTTTCGATTAAATGCCTATATTTTTAAAACAGTGAAATATACATTAACAAGAGCAAATTTTATCACAGAGAGGTATTTCAAAACACTTTAGACAGATTATGGTATCGATACCCGCTGTGATCTCATCCTGGTCCTTACATTGTGCTTACATTATCCTGGTGACTCATTATGGTGCTTACCTTATAGTGGAAAAATGTCTTTTTCTACAGTCCCTTCAGTTCGGTGTCTGGCTATAGAATCGTAGAGACACATCGTCTTTTTGTTAACGTTCACTATCTAAAGAAAGACACAGTGACATCCTCATAAATCAGATTGTATTTTCTCAACTGATATATAGTAAACTGAAAACTGAAAAACTTGCTGAAATTGTTCAGTATATTTACCATGACTTTCCAATGCTTGTTTTGGTTGATAGGAATGACCCATATCTCCTTTTCCAATAACTTTACCTACAATTATTAACATATAAAAGAATCTTGCTAATCGAGCACATCGAAAAGGTTTCCCATAATAATGATGGTAACGGTGGAGTAAGCGCTAGCGGTCGGGCTCAGAAGCATTAAAACTGAAGAACAACAACGCATTCATTGGATACAAAGAAGGAGACAAGACCAAATTGTTGTGTATATGATTCCTGCCTTCTTATAGATACTACATAGTACTTTTGATTGTGGGTACTTGAGGTAATGGTAAACGAAGCATATAAAACCAAAACAATCTTGTTTTGTTTACGTTTGTACACTAAATGAAAACTCTTACTGTAAGAAAAATAAATTAATTAGCCAAAGCCAGGCAATAGTTCAAATAAATACAAAATTACCTTGCATAAAGATTGAAGTACTCTTTCCGGCGAACTTGTGTGGAATTTTTCCCATCGTGGGAAAAAGAAAGAGTTGAAGATGTGAACGGATTGTCCCTAAAAAGAAAGCCGGGAAATAAAAAGTATGTCTGTTTGATCTTTCTTTCTGCTACGAGACAAATATCCAAGTCGGAAGACAGCGTTTGTGATAAAATGCAGGTAGATTTATAGTTATAGACAAAATTTTATAGAACAACACAAACCCGCTTGATAACATCCTATACATCGATATCCATCCTTTGTATTAAAACATAACTGTTTTGTACACTTTTTGAGACACTGTAACAAGCTGACGTCCGATGCGCCATGAGACGCATGTGTCGTATAAGTCATTCATTTCATAATTACTTGCAATGCTTACCATCTTGTCAAACTTTCTGGCGAGAATGGCGTTGTATGTGTTGATCCCCTAAAAGTAAGGATCAATATCATTAAAACTCCGGCCTTGGTCTGTGGCTCTTGTTTGTTAATTGCAAGTGCCTGTATGTTCTTGTAAAGCTAGTTCTTTGCTCAAAAATTAAAGAACCGAAAGAAACAAGTGTGAGCACTATCTAAATAAATATCAACTATATTTAAACCAAAGAGAGCAATCCTTCATTAGGCTAGCGTCGTTCTTTGCTACAGGTAACTCATACTCAAATGATGCTCGTGCTCACCTCGTCATTTAACCAGCATTCCTCGTACTGTAAGCCCGTCTTCCACTGCTGAAAACGACGCAGAGACTCCGTAGAAATATTTTCCATGTGCTTTGGCACGAATGTTGATATCTCTGGACCTTTTATGTTTGCTTGGGAGGTCGTGTCATCATGTTCGTGGTGTTTGTTATCTTTGATTTCTAATAGAGATCAGTAGGAGAGGGTTTGATTAAAATATTGATCGATAGAACTAACTCATTTTTATATCAGTATTTTAAGCAAGTCACTTCCACGTATAAGTACGAGAATGTAAAGTTCATGTTAGTTACTGATAGTTAAATTTGATCGTGTAATTTTCCCCAAGCGTAAATCAAGACAACGGTTTGAAAATGTTTCCCCTTGGGTGTTCTTACGCATATGAAGTACTTTTAGTACCTTTATTATCTTTGCATGGATTCTGTGAAGACGATTCCGCAGCGGACGATTTCTCATAAAAGAGAATATACGAATCTTTGCTGTTTTGTAGTACTTCGTCAATTTCCACAGCTTCAATCTGAAAAATGCAATATCGATCATAGAACAAAGTTATATTCTATAAAAGGTTTTTTTTTTTTTTTCAATGTTAATTTCAGCGAAGTGAGTTGTTGTCCTTGTGAGATGCTGCAGCAAGGTTTAAATTTCCTTGCGAACATTAACCCCTTCCTCTCCTTTACCAACATTAAACATAAAAATATCGTTAATGTCCATGATATGGTTTGGGCGTGCAGCAAATGTAGAAGGGGTAAAAGTACACTTTGTGATGTTTTATACTGTCGTACTCTTCTCTAAAAAAAAATTGTTTAATTTTTTTTGGCTCTATCTGTTCATTACGTGTTTGATGATTCCAACCCATAGAATTACAGAAAACAATTCTAAAACTGTATGTATTAAAACTACAGACTAACATTTTGATCATCTACAAGGAACCAGCCGTCTCTTTTGACGTATGCCACGTAATGACCACTTGTCGCCAAATTTCCTTTGTGACAAACTACACCAAATAGGTCGAAACACACCTTCCATAAAGGGAAAAAATGACAGGTGTAAGTATAAGCATCCGACATAATGGTTATTTATGTATACCAATGGATAAACAAAGCAGCCCAGAAACTCTCCTTCGGACATTAATCCGTAGTTATGTGTAATTTGTACATTACCTGAAGAGATTTGTTTGTTATTCTCTGTTGAATTGTGATAGCCCTCGCGTCTTTCGTTGGCATTCCATTACGGTATCTAAAAGGGGAATATGTTGGAAAACGAAAGGAACTGATTTTATCAGTTTTGCTTTTCAATTTACAATGACTAAGTTAAGAACAGGATTATATAACAATTGACACTATTTGTGTTATGTTCTTGTGCCCTTTACAGCTTTTACAGCTTTTTTCAGTGACTGAAGTATTTCTCTTTGTTCGATACGACGATTAACACTTCTCTTTTGTATCCTCCAGGTTTTACACGGTTTTCGCCATTGTAAACTGCTTACTGGGGATTGTATCATGCACTGGGGATTATGCACCTGTGTGCGCTTGTCAATTCTTTAATAAGAGTTACTTTTCATTGTATCGTCAGTACACACCTCATTAAGTGAACAACCAAAATTTCTGGTGCTTTTGTTAGCCTCTTTTTTTGTTTCGCTGGGACATCTTGCTGGCATCTTTGGGCAGCAAAAGGAGACAACCATGCAAAACAAAAAAGAGCGATACTCATAAGCAAAACATTACAATGCAAAACATATTGTAATGTTCCAAAACATTACCTGCTGCATTTGTAGCTGTGCGCCCCGCTTAAAATTTCATCTTTAAAGAACGTTGCCAGTGAAGCTACCACATGTTCCTGTAAAAACAAAACCATGTCGCAAAAGTTACATCAAGTCACAACTTAATCAGTTAAGCGGGCGATAAACTAAACAATCTTAAAAGAATTACCTTAATCTCTAATGATAAATCGACCATGTTATCCAGGCGTCCAGAAACACCACCACAGTTTAGACACTCCACTGCATACAAAGAAAATGCGGATTAGTTAGTTCCCGCTTCAAAATTATGAAATTTTTAAAACAATATACTTATATAAATCTTTGGTTGCTGGAATTAATATAATGTACCGAACTCACCTTCAGAGGTTATATTTCCGGTAAACAAAGACGTAATTGCTTCAGTTCTGAAAAAAAGGAGCAGATGATTATACTGAAATCTCAATCAGGAATTGTGTCAACCCTTTGTCTACTTTTAAAAAGACATCATCTACTATAAGACGAACACTTACCCCCTGGCCATGTCAATGTTGTTCAAAATTCCTAGCAATAACTCATGGGCGTCTTCTTGACGGCCGGCAGAAAGAGTGTTGGACAAACCTGTATGGTAACATTACATGTTGATTAAAATACGATTGCACATAACATCATAAAATTCAAAGATCCTAAATATGCATCCTACAAAACTGTTTCTAACAAGGTGTGCGGATACCTGTTTCGTAAAATGTGGCTTCGCAGCTTATTAACTCTGTGAGCCTGAGCATAGCTATGAAGTCGCCATGTTTTCCGCCACAGTTAACTCACTGACACGTTAATGGCTTTTGTTTTCTCTATCATTCCCTAGAATTTCTGTTATTTTTTTTTATTTGATAAAAATGGTACATATTGTATGGTATACATTGTATTGTATTGTGTACTGAATCACAATTCAACTTTTTTTTTTTTTTTCAGTAAAAAAAGGAAATCTGAACAAAATTTGTGCTCATGGAATCGAAAAAATATTCTTGATACCAAGATGGCCGCTCGATCCGTTTCTTACTAAAAATGTGTAATACCTGTTTCCTTATAACCCTTCACCGAAATGCCGTTGCGCTTCAAACTTGGTCAAAACACTTTGAAAAGGACACACGAGAACTTCAGTGTTACATTACACGTAACGCGTGACCAAAAGTATAGAAATCGTCACGGAAAGGTCCGCGTTCGCGCTAAGGGTCAGAGACGAGATAAAAAAAAATCGCTGTAAAAGATAACAGGCCCTGCACGCTCGTCGCAAAAAACAATATAGTCCGGCTTTAGAATAGTGCTGCCTCAAGTACGTACCCGAGAAATGCTTTCCTTTCTGTAATAGATCCAAATTTAAAATTTCTCTGTTGTAGCTGTCATACTAACATTTGATATTTACACTTTCCAGACCCGTCGTAATGCAGGATCAGTAGTAGTCGCTGAATGCTCCAATCACTGAGTAAATTTCTCAGCCCGTGATTTTGATTTTGATTTCTCTATCACCGTGACAGAAAAAAGTCTAATTAATTTAATACGATTCAAAGAGCAATGGTTTTCGGTTCCTCAGAGTTTATTTTGCGGTTAAATTGTGTTTGGAGCTAGGGAGTACTTTCGCTGATAGGCGTATGGTGTTATTGAATGTAGCATGAAACATTTGTTTTGATATTCATACGAATGCAACTGTGGTTACTATTCAACACAGCATTTCTGAGAACTGGCTATAGGTCAGCAGTACGATTTCAACCTCACTTCAGTCCTTTAATTCTAAAAGTCGGATGTCGACTGGCATGGCTGGCTCCTTCAGCCGTCCACCGTTACGACACCAAAACTGCGAGTAAACTCGCAAAATACAGAGATACTGATAGGCTGTAGCGGAACAGTTAGATTTTCTCAAAGTCCCTTCCAATACTCGTTTTCCATATAGTCAGGTTCTTCGTTGGAAGGGACTTTTCCCACTTGCAGCGCGGGAAATTTACCAGTGGATTTTTCCACGGCGGTGACGTAAAACATATTGGCCAATGAACAAGCAATTTCTGAACTACGTCATAAACTCGCGCGTGGTCAAAGCGCTGAAAATTTTACTCAGATATGAAATCAAATTTTAACTCAAAATTATGGTTGCCGCGCTCGTAATGTACTTCGTTTTCAAAATCGTATTTTTGTATTATCGGAGTTATAACACACATTTCAAGTATTTAAAATGGCATGAAAAAGTTACAAAGAATACTCAGTTGCCGGCATGTTGGGAAAGAAGAGCTTAAAGCGATGAAATCTTCCTTCGAGGAACTTCATGTTTAAATCAAAGTAGGGCGATATTTCTGCCTTCGGACGCCAGAGCCGAAGAAGCGGAGTTTTAAAGGATTTTCAAGCAGCCGAGGGACATCACGGTAAATGAAATAAGACTTTTCGATGGGAATTTCTGTTGATATAAATTTGTGATTGACTTTTTCTTTCTTTTTTTTTTCATTAATTTTTGAGAAATGTTTATAAAACGTGCTAAATTTCATGAATTTTGTTTTTGCGAAGACAGTTCCTTGATGCACCAACGGTACACGTTTTGCTTTTAGGATAAACTAACGGATATTTGAATAAAACAGGATTTTGCTGTCTTTTCTTGTGTTTGCTCATTCATTGGATAGGTTGAACAGCGATTTTTATGTAAAAAAGACAAGACTTGCGCGCATTTTACAGTTCTAGGCTTCACGCGCGTTGCCCTAGCAAAGGTAAGCAAAGATGTCCGGCAAGTTTTTGAAATTTCGATTTCCAAATCAGTTTCTCGGGTGCCACCATTGATGAAAGTGCTGTTTTGTGGCCTGAAATGATCAGATGTGAAATCATTGACAAACATGAATTTTTATACGATAGCTCTTGAGTACGGCTTGTGTTGTCCATAGATAAAAAAGACGCTTTGAAAGGAGAACTGAAAACTGTGGTATAGATAGGGATTCAAAAATTTATCGGCAAAGACGCGTTTCTCGGGGAATTTTTTTGTGTTTTGAAAGCACCGTTATCATCGACTGGTTGTGATGTGGTCTCCTGTGTGGTCCTATATTAAAGACCCAAACGCTATATTAAGTTAGAACAGTGTGTGTCATTAAACTCATTGAACAATCCTGCTCCTCCATGGGAAAGCTTATATTCTCGAGGCACGTATTTTCCCGCTTATAGAACTATTCGGATTCAAGTTATCGTTCAATCGGGTGATTTTTTTTTATGTATTCTTTTTATTGTAATAAGTTGCTGTTTGTCGTCGCTTTTCAGCCAAGAAAACTTTCACGGCGTTGAAACTTTCCCGTTACTGACAACAAGCTTAATACTGCTGTCTTGTCACAATCTCAACGCCTCGAACAGGCGAAATTTCCCCATACGTTTGTATGTCTTCGGGTTAAAATTCTAGTGGACAACATATCCGTTGCCAAGGCCTCGAAATCCAAGACAAAGTGGACTATTGAAAACAAACAACCAGTCGTCTCTTTCTTTCTCTCTTTATGCGCTTCAATTTGTTTTCTTGTTTACTTGCTTCATTCTACCTTTTATTTTGTCACAAATAACTATGATTTCACTTACAATTAACTTGATTCTTGAACATGATTCCTCTTGCTTCTCCAGTAAGACCAGATAGTACCATGCTGGCGATCTCGCATAAAGCGCAAAATGGTAAATTGTCATCAATCCCAGAACCTATATTAGGATGACAAGAGAATATTATCTCACAATATCTATATTAAGGATGCCAAGAAAAATTGCTGGTGAATGAAGAATGACGGTGTTCACAGCTGCAGAACATTAACGTTAACTTACTTGAGCATTGTTGTACTTGATGGTGCTCCAAAGCCAAAGACACAAAGTCCTTGTTGGATAACAAACACTGGAGAACAGAGTTAATATAGCATGTATTGCCCTCGTTGGGTATACCAAATGGTGTACTCAGGTCCAAACGCAACATTTTACTATCCTAGAGCTTTCTATAAATATAAACCCGTATAAAAGCTTTAAGATTTTTTTCTCAAAAGAGAACTAAAACGGAGCAACGTGTTTAGTCTGATTCCCCGCGTTGACGCAGTTCCGGCCGGATACCCAACTGATTGACAGGCAGTTATTTATAAATTAAGCTGCCATCAATCACTTGAAAAGAAAATCATATACGCACCAGTTTCAAGAGTAATGTGACAAACTTTATATCAGTATAAAGCGTAATAACTTTGGTCTTTGCAAAAAATAAAATTTCAGGGACGTTCTTTACGAATGGCTAGGAGCCCATAAGCCGACAAACGATCCAAAATATAGTATCGAATGGCACTGCAATAGCGCGAAATTTGAAGCGGGCCATCTTCGCATTTAACTTGGGCTTTTTTCAATTCTACCTACATAAAACCGCAAGAAAATACAAGTGTCGTTTGCCATAAGTTATTTCGCTTGCAAAGGATAAACTGATTTAGAATTGCTCAGTCGCTTCATACTAGTAAAATTTCCATTCGATAGCGAACTGATTTTTGCGAATGCAAGTGCGAATGTGACAAAACAATAGCGCGGAAACAGACCAATTTCAGTAGCTTACTCAAAGCGGTCCAATTAATCTATAACACCTGAGCCACGAAAAAAAAAAACACTTTGTGAAATTTCTCAGGGCACTGAGTCATGCATGAGAAGTCGATGGAAATTTGATGGGTTTCCAATTTAAAATGGGAATCGCGCTGCGCACAATTACTTAAAATAGATCTGTGATGTCATTTGTACACAGCGCTGGCGTCAAGTTAGAAAAATATGTCTGCCTCTCAGCAAGAATTTAAATGCATCTTCTGTCATCGGTTATCCGATGAAACTACTTGCTCGTCGTGCGGCAGTGAGTGCAGGAAAAGGAAAAATGCTCAATTGTTGCAAAATGCCCTCAGATGGTCCTCCGCTTGTAAAAAGACCAAATTCAACGTACCAAAACAACTTCAAAGCCTGGTTAAAAAGTGCCCTCAATGGGAAGAAAGAATTGTTGCTCTCGTTAAATCTAGCGAAAATTACCGGCACTTTACTTATAAAGAAATGGAGCAAGAAATTACTGGAAGAGAAATTCTGCGATGTACTTGGAAGATGCTAGAAGGCAAGGCAAATAATCTTGTGAACGGCATTCAAAGCCGCTCAGATAAACTGGACAAATCAACATCATGCCCTCTGTCGGAACAAACTAACTTTGACAGCTCCATCGAGAACAAGGTAGCTGACTTCAAAAGGCTTGTAGACATATTCCTCTTTGGGGAAGTATACCTCCGCTCACGCTCCACCAAATGCACCACAAAAGGCCTTTTGGAATGGAAAGATAAGGCCAGCAAGATGCGAGATGTATCTCTTCACGAGGAACTGGTTGGCTACTTCAATGATGCCACCGCATTTAAAACATTTCTGGCCTACGAATTGCCAGAAATTACGGAAGCTGTGAGAATGAAGGCGACCATAAAAGAGAATACAATTTGGACTTGCAGGCCAAAGGAGTCGCTGGCGCAAGAACGAGGGCAAATGCGAAAAGGAAACGTGACGAAAGAATGTTGGCGATGGGCGAAGGAAAACCGCATTTGTTCCTCTGGTAAAGACATTTCTTCGCGTACGAGGAGAAATCGATAAGGTAAAAATTGTTAATTTAGCTTTTATTAAACTCGATGACCCAATAGGTTAATTATCGAATCCACCGAAAAATTCGATTTTTTTTTTCTAGCGCGAATTTACCCAACAGCTAAAAATAGCTTAGTAACCGCACATATTTCTTCACCATGTGCTTTTATTTAGCCTGGTTACTGAGGTCAACAAAGATGGCGGTTTGGTTTATACTGACTCTTTCGTTCAGTTTCTTCAGCTGTTTCGTTTGCTTTGGGCATTTGTTATATTCGTACGGTTTTAAAGGGAACAGAATTTTTTGGGACCATGTTCCAACCATTTTGCTACTGGTTTTAAGACGCATCCCAAGTTTAATAGATCGGAAAGTTTAATTCAAGTTTAATTACATGTATTATGCCAGATTATGCACATGGATATATTGTCATTTGATTATCACTCATGTGTGCGCCTTTCTGTTTAAGAAACAAAATCACAGTATTGATGGAAAATCCGAAGGTGAAGGTGAGGGTGAAGGTGATGATTATGGTATAAAGGAAGATACATGTAATGAAGTTGGCAAGGAAATCATTAGCGATGATGACATGCTGGTAAGTGAAATGGCTAATGCTTGTTTGTGAACTTACACTGTACATCTATTATTATTTTGATACAATAAACTAGTTAGTGTTACTCGAAACTAACGCCAGTAAGCTGTTTATTTTTGTCTGCCAGTGGATTTTTGTAAGTCAGAAAAATTCAATCCAAGATAGATAGTTTTGCATTTATGTTATAGTAGGATATATAATTGCTACATATATTTTTTATATAGTAACATATCATTTGCTTCAAGGAATTATTATGCAGTGTATAAAAATGTAGAGTTATTTTCATTCCTAAGTTCAAGAAAATTTCTGTCCAAATTGTTAGGTTGCTACCTAGCAAAACAAAAAACCGCACCACAGTAATATAGAAGAACTGCTCAGAGCCATTCATAACATTGGTTGATTAGCTGTTGCAGTTTGCAGTTCTTATTCAATCTGCATGTATGTCATACTGGTGTAGTCCATGGCCTACCACTGGTTAATTTTCTACAGTAAAAAGAAATCAAAAAATCCTATATTTGTGAAAAGTTTATTATGCACATGGCTATACAGGGTACTTCCATTAATTTTGATTTTCTCTCACGAGTGTGACTTTTTGTTTAAGGAAAAGAGTCATGAACAAGACGAAGAAGAAGAAAAGTAGAAGAAAAAGATGAACAAGACGAAGAAGAAGAAAAAGTAGAAGAAGAAGAATATGAACAAGACGAAGAAGAAGAAAAAGAGAAGAAGAAGATGAACAAAAAAAGAAGAAGAAGAAAAAGTAGAAGATGAAGATGAAGAAAAAGAAGAAGAAGAGGAAGAAGAACCATGGGGTGAATGGTGCTAATTGGCATGTGCTCAACATGCATCCATATAAGGAAGTGTTCATTATTTATTGCGAGGGGGGCTGGCAAATGGGGAAACTTAATGTTTCGAACTTTTTGTACCCCCCGATGATCAAGGCTAACTTTTCTTGCCTCCCCCAGCGAGAAAGTAAAAACTTTTTTGACTCCCCCCCCCCACCTATTGTAATGATGCATTTATTATAAAACCATACTCACATCCTCCACTTTAATAGCGTTTTACCCAGCTGCTTTTGTATTTTTAATAAGTCGGACATCCACACAGCTGTTACTTTCAGCCAATAAAAGATCAACTGTGACAAAGGCTTTCTATAGCATTCACATTATCATGGTCAAAATTGTATGCCCAATCATCAGTAGCCTCGAGTATTAATGAAGTAACTGTAGAGTGAGGAGATTGAAAGCCCGACTGGTGGCTAGAGAGGAAATTATAATCCATGAGAAAGCCAAAGACCTAATCGTAAATAATTCTTTCGAACCTTTGCCAACACTGGGATCTAATAGAGATGGGGCGTTTAATAAGTCAGCCTGATCCCCTTGTTTGAATATCGTCGGCATCACTTTTGAACACTTCCATTCTTAGGGGGAAAGTGCAATTTGTGAATTTAATTACACACTTGTAAGTTGTTTTAATAAGTATATTTTGTACATAATCTTGACACAGAGATCAATAATATCAGGCGTGGATATAGGATAAAAGATGAGCGATTGACTACAAAACTTGCGCCCAAGACGCAAGCTCTAAGGGGGGTCTGGGGGCATGCTCCCCCGGGAAAATTTTTAATTCTTACTTCCTAAAGTCCCCTTTCCTGGGTTTTTTCGAAAACCGATTTTACAGTTCACTTTTATTTAAAAAATTATGTTTTTAGGAAAATTCTGACCGATTTCCATAAAATGGTGGAAACCGGTATAGATCCACGCCTGAATATTAGGGTAGCATTGTTGTATATTAATTAATACTGTGTTGCATGAAGGATATAAACCATCAAGCTTTTTTAGCCCCCCCCCTCTTCCTCAGAGTAAAACCTTTCTGCCCCCCCCTATATAAAGGGGTTAAACCTCGCTTGCCCACCCTCCCATTTGCCAGCCCCCCATAAATAATGAACACTCCCTAACATTGCATGAAAAACATTAGATCATTTTTCATCAGTCATTTTTGAGTTTTGTTTTATTAGATTTCTTCAGCAATCATACAGATGTAAATTACTAAAAAAGGTACTTGAAGCTCCCATAACACATGCCATGATTTGGTGCAGAATATCCATGCTTGAATGCAACTGGTGGTATTTGTTTTGATCGCTTTCAAATAAAATAAATATGATACTGCCAAAAAAGTATTTCAGAGTTCAAATAAATACAAAGTTAATACACAGATAAATAAATTATATCAATTTGTTTCATTGCATCAATGATAGTGAACCATATTTTTACTCGAAAGACCACTGCAACTGTTACAGATTTTTGGGACTCTTTGATATGAGGCTCATTTAAAGGTAGGGCGAAATTGAGGATGGCACTTATTTAAAACTGAACAAATGAAGATGCATAAATAAATAAATAAATGCATTTCAAACGGAGAAACTTCTGTAGTTTTATTCAAATTTGTTCAAAATATCAACTTTTTAAATTCATAGTTATCAGTAACACTTTTAGTGTTATTGAGTACTTTCTTCTATTGCAGCTTGATTCTGTGAGAGTGATGCAAATTTACAAATAAGCAGTTAACTGATATGGATTGAAACTTGCTCAACTTGTTGTGCATTTAGCCTTTAGATCGTTTGTGCGAGGCTCTTACTTGTACATGTAGAACATTTTGCAGTTTTGTTCACATAAATAAAGTTATTTTTTATTATAATTTGAGTGACAAGACGTCAATCAAAATTACCAGTGTCTTTGTACATATATGTCATGCTGTACTGTAAACAATTTGTTGTTATAACCCAGGTAAAAAGTCAGGCGGGATCCCGCTGGGATCCCGCTAATCCCACCTGGGATCCCGGGTGGGATTAGCGGGATCCCGCCTCTAATGGCGGGATCCCGCCATTCCCACCTGGGATTAAAAATTAATCCCACCTGGGATCCCGCCTAAAACACGGGATTATCACATCCCACCTGGGATCCTGGGTGGGATCCACACATCCCACCCGGGATCCTGGGTGGGATTCACATATCCCACCTGGGATCACACATTGTCACCCAGGATCTTTTCATACATCCCACCTGGGAACATTGGGATAATTTCACATGTACAATCCCACCTGGGATTTTAGAAGATTTATTCATACTTGCAAAAGTTAAGTCAAACTTAATTAAGAAGACTTTTAACAGCCATGTAGGTTATATATAATTATGTGTTAAACATATCTTAGCAAGAAGTCTAATTAACTTATTATTCTACATTTCTGCATGTGGAGTTAAAAATACGGCTGGAATTTATCGTCTTCCTGTACCCAATTTAATTTCAAAGGACAACTTATTGTATTAAATTACAAATGTTTTTTATAAGCAGAAAATGACACCATCGTTCATAAATTGTCCTGTACATACATGTAAAAATGACTTTCAACAAAACAATATTTATTTTATACAAACACACAAAAAGCATACTTCCAACGTAAAAAGCAGTGTTTAAAACTAAAAAACTTAAAAATCATTTACTACAATTTTTTTTGTGCTTGCAGATAGTTTCTTAGTGAGAAGATTTTTGTAAAGCATTAATGAATCGCTACATCCATCATTCCTGACTTAACTTTCCTTTCTAGCTTTTCCCTAGAGTTTCTTCACTTGAAATGATACCTCCATGCATCATTTTCTTCTTTTATATTAGCTTCGATCCTTCGTCTTGATTATGGACGACTCCTGAATAGAAATTCATGGTCAAAACTGCGAAACGCTAGCTGCAGTCCTCGGTGTTTGTCAGCCATTTTGTTTCCACTAGTTCCCAGGGAAGCCCGTGAGTTCAACACATGCGTATTCAGCGTTTTATCGTCACATGGGCCTTTTCAACCAATGAAAAGGTGTGAAAATTGGCTGATTCCACGCGGGCACTTTCAAGTCAAAGAAGACGAACTGTAAAGCATGCGTCTTTACAAGAAGACGCTTCTTTTTACTTCAATTTAAAGTCGTTTTTTTGCCAGGTTCAACAAAAAGTATTCCTAACGTTGGTAAGTGATGTTTTTCTCAACTTGAGTTTCGATTTACCCGTGTTGTCTCCCCTTTTCGCGTACCTGAACAAGTTGGATCGGTCACCTTCGATCACGCTTCGATACTCGTTCGTTTCAATTCTAAAACGTCAGGTTGTTTTTGTGTTCATTTGCCTTAAAATCTCAACTTTTCTGTTTGCAGATACTTATTCGTTGCAGTCAAAAGAAAAGTGTATGGCACTGAAGAGCACGACATCAGCCTAAAGTCTACACGATAAGCAAATTAAGCAAACTTTAACTTGGGGTTTCGAATGAAACTTCTCCATGAAAATACTGCATTTGTGTTGTTGTGGTTTTTTTTCAAAAGATTTAATCACATATTTGAATGTTCTGCAATGACTGAATATTGTATATGTAGACTTATTAAAGTTGCATTTTATTCA